TGATTATTGTCGTTTGAAACGTTTTTCGTTCTACGCTGCAAAAGCTGCAATAACTTTTGACTTTTATTCCTGCCACGTAATTTGTAAACAACATCTGATCTATTTTTGTCACTGCATTTTGACTCAGGCGTATCGATGAAATTTTATAATTCAATTTTGTATCAATACGTCAACACGATTGACATTTCTGGCCGAAATTAGGCCGTCCTATCATCAAGTCAGAGATTTTAACACACAAAAAAAATAAATTGTCGGTGAACGAATTCCGTCGAGAATAAATTCGCACTTATCTTTCAGCACCGTTCTCCGCTAAAAACACTCGACGGCAACACGCTTCCGTCCACGAAGCTGTGAATAAATCCAATCACGATGTTCGGTGTTGATTACGTGTCTAACAACAACTTCAAACAGGCCCGGGTATGGTTTCCTTTAATTTTAATAAGTTTGAATCAATGTCACGAAAATAAAAAGTGCTATCATTCGGTCACTCTTAATCCATCAATCGATCCAGGGCCGTATTTACATTGTGGCAATATCAATTTGTAACCTGTCTGCTGAAGCGCATGTTTTGAGGGTTAAACACGCAGAGACCTATTGCGTGTAATAAATAACGAGTGGTAATCACGAAAAATATTTATCAAATCGGAAATATTTAAGAGAATGCAGCTTGGTTTAAAGTTTAACTTTCCCGATATGTTTGGAATGACCAATTATTATTAATTGGTTGTTTGGGATTTAGATTAAATACTAGCTGTACCCGGTATGCGTTGCAATGCTACTTAACAAAGAAAATACGTGTAGTATGGTATTATTTATCTAATGTCAAACCGCAATCGAAATGTCACTGTTTGCATTTGTTGCAATTCAATTCTACCGAGCATGCGCACTCATATGCAGAAAACACGCCGGACGTGTGCATACGAAGAGAAGAATCCGGGAATACAGCATCTCAATTAACGAAATTTTGTATTGTTAACGGTATCGTTAATTTTTAAAGAGAACTGAAAAAATAATGCTCATCTGTTTATAAACGTTTTGTATCAACTGCATGCTTCTACTACACATAAAGTTGTTAACATAACTTTGGAATCGTTGACGTTTACAAACGCACGCAACATAATTTAAATTCACAATTAATTTCCTGTGAAATATTACAGAGTGCTTATTAAATAAATGGTCATTACATCGCCGTGAGCACTGACTTTAAACAGCCTTGATGAAACTAGAATTATTATAACACACCTGTCAAATGGTATGTGACGTTATGTTACATTGCTTTATTAAGAGTACGGTATATACAGTGGGTATCGAATGTGATTGTAAAGTGAGCGTTCCTGACTTTGAAAACATGGCCAAACTTTAGAAAAACTTAAATGTCACATTTTAGTAAAACAAATAAAACAAAAACGATGATTTTCCTTAGACATACTTCAATAGCAGAAAATTTAACTCAATCCAGTGATTACACAAACACTATTCGTAAAATGTCATAATCAAAAACTGCGAATTAATGCTAAATTGACAATAATTTGAAAGCGTAACCATTTAGTTGGCATTATTAAATAAGGTATGTTCATTGTGATGCAAATTACCGTCGCCTCACCAGCAACAATATAAAAATTGGTCGAAGGTTATTTACAGAACTTCCCTCGCCGTTGCAGTACAGTCTAACAAATCCCGCTTCTTTGAAAAATGTTAACATTTGATTTCGCGATTTTTGTTTTGTAATCACCCCTATAAAGTAAAACGGCAGTCGCCAGACAGATGTTAAACGATGGATAAACGGAAATAGGAGACCCCTTTTTTCGTACTCTTGAGGTCATGAAACGTCGAGAAAACTAGACAGTAACAGGTCGCCGGACTCGATTATAATACTTCCTTCGCTTACGCTCGGAAAAAAAATGACAAGGATGGGATTCTAACTCACGCACGCAGAGCTTCAGTTGCATAAATTCCACCCTGAGATTATTCGACCACGACAAACTTGTCTTTTACGTGTACGACATATCGATCCCTAGAGTACGAAAAAATAGGTCTTCCGATTCCGTCGGTCTGTCTGTTTTTATTTTTTATTGGACAGATCATTTCCGAAAGTACTGGACCGATTGTTGTAAAATTTTATATACAGTATGATTAAAGGCACTACTGCATAATTTTAATGTTACATGGCAAAAATAAGTAAATAATGCCAATGGCAGCATGGTCAACTCTTTAAAATACGGCATTCAGGGAATCTTAAAATTTCATGAATGATCAATTCTAACACCCTGGAAACAATTCGTTCAATTTTTAGACGTTCCAAAGAAATACGCAAAATCAGCATTTTCAAGGCAACTCAGCTGCAACAGTCAAGAGAATCGCGTGTTTTTTAAAGTATACAGCAATTTTTTTGCTAATAAAATTAATGATCGTGGAAATCAGTTTCGATAATGTAGCAAATTTAAAAATTCTGTAATCTTCTCTATTTTTGAAAAATGATCACAGTTTTACTAGAACTTATTTTTTCCATACAATTCGCCACTAAAATGATGCAGTAGTGCTCTGAATAACCCTGTATATGTGAGGAATATCATGTAGACCGTAAAACGCACCAAAATTTGTCTGATCGTGGGATGACGTCATTTCCAAAATTTACAATAGTAAGTGTTATTTAAATTTCATAAAATAACATATTCCTATACTTGTGGTTTATGAATCGGTGTTGAGTTTTTACCCTAGACATCCAGATTTTTGGAAAAAAGGCAAAATTGTATAACAAAATTTTACAATTTGACTTTGAAACTGAAAAACCGAATGCTCTGAAATCATTAACGAAAATTTATCCGTTTATCTAGTCTCAAAATTTACCAAGTAAATCCTATCTACAATATGTAAAATATTATGATCAGCAGGGCGGCTGAAAAAAAATGAATGAGGCAAATTATTTTATTGAACCGCTTCACCCATTTTACACTTCATATTCAAATTGATAGTGTCCTTGCTAAAATATTGATGACATTATCACAAAATTTTGATATGAAAAAACTCACTTGAAAAAACGCATAGCATGCTTCTTTATCTGTACTTTGACAGCCCACACATATCTTTATTTTCAACTTACAGGAATTATCAAAAAAAAAAAATCACAAAATTAAATTTTATAATATTACGAAGCTGTATTTGTTTGCGTGGATTGGATTTGTTTGATTGTACTTCAGGGGTGAGGGAAGGTCTGTCTAACTAACCCTAGACGATTTGTATAATTTACGTTTATACTACAAGTTGGGTTAGTTATGATCATCGTGGTGTAAATTACTGGTACCCTACTAAAAAATAAATGGATAGATAAAATTCTAATCAAATAACAAAAACTCGAAACCTTCTTAGTGCCAAACTGACAAGCTGTTGATGATTACTTTGATTACTTTTAACGAAAAAATAATCAATTTAATCAACAGTCATTATCACACTAATTAAACGCCGTTGCCTACCAGTATCAGATCGCGCACGGAATTGCTGATACCTGTATTTTAAATAATTGCAACGTTTGCATGACAATTTGGTTGCTCTGCAATTATTCAAAGCGTGTATGATTTACACTGAAGTGAATAAAAATCCGCAAATAATTTTTGGGTATAACTGGTTGCATATTTTTTGGTTTAGCTATCAAAAAGCAAAATTATTTTCACTGTGAAGTACTGGAAAAACCTTGTCAAATTTATTTCAACAAAAATGACTTCCACTGTGCATTGTATATATAAATTCTACATTTCTGAAGATGAGCAAGTTCTTATTATAATTAAATTAAACGGACTCTGTTTAAAATGTCGATTCTAAATGAACAAATTTTTTAATAAATTTACGTATAGTATAGTCTATGACATAATGAAGCTCGACCCACAGTGTTAAAATTTATAACATACGATTTCATTATTTTTGAAAACGCACTTTTAGGTAAAGCTAATAAATACATATTAACACACATTGTTAAATTATTATTCTGACACAATGGTAGGTAATTATTATGGTTTAAGTTATTTATCGTTTTATTTCCTATTATTTATTTTAAAGATATTATCGTGCAACAGTTTCAGCTATATAGTAACTACTTTTAGGTAAATTTTTTCCTAAAATCTGAAAAACTCCAAAGCAACCTAAGAGTTCAAATAATAAATATTGTGCATATATTGGAAAAACTTTAAAATAAATCAACAGATCAATGTTTCATAGGCGTACTTACTTGAATTTATTATTTTTTTAATCTAAATAAACATGAGCTGAAAATGCACGTGTATAACATTGCACACTTTTGTTTTTCTTTGTTAACTTTTTTTTATTCGACCTTGACGACCTCTCAAAGGTGACATTTAATCATCATGATATAATATTTTACATATTTTCCTTTCTGCGTTGCAAAAGCTGCAATAACTTTCAACTCAATCCTTCAACCTAAACTGAAAACAATATTTCAACAACCTACTTTTGTATTTGTGTCGTTTTAATTCAGTACGTAACAAGGAAGTTTTTAATGCAGAAATACATTTTTTCTAGGAATTGGTCAACCTTGTCTGGCATCCTAGACCAATAGTATGATGTTTGTAATCAAGTAGTCAAGACTAACACAAAACTATAAGTTTTCTACAAAAAAAAAAAAAACTCAAAAAGGGATTCCCTCCAACATACATGTCTCACTCATCTTTCAGCATCGCTCTATTCTAAAGGCACACACCCGACAGCAACATGCTTCCGCCCCCGAAGCTATTAACAAATCCAATCACGACGCTCTACATCACTGATGACGTCACTGATTACATGTCAAACAACGACCCCAAATACGCGTCCGTGTATGGTTCCCTTTAAATTTGACAAATTCGCATAGAACGGAAATTTTCGCACACATGGCAATTCGGGCCAATGCCACGAAAAGAAAAACTGAAATCACTCTGCCATCGCTAGTCAATCAATCGATCCAGGGCCGTATTTACATTTTGGCAATGTCAATTTGTAGCTTGTCGACTTACCTGGGCGTTTTGGGGCGCCCAACACGGCCCGAGCTCGTAGCTGTCACAATAATTAATAATTAATAAATCACAATTTATGGATTCTTGCGAGTGTTTGGGTCGGATCGCCCCTCTTGACCACTTTGTCGTGGACGCGGCACACAGAAAGGAATTTATGACGTTTTGTGTCGGGGTCCTCAAGTGATTATTGGGGGCAATTAGGGAACCGCACAATTTCGAAAGCCTGAATCGATGTTTGGAAAATAACACACTGTTACAACGTTGACTGTTCAACTTTTGGCACACCGTGATGGCGTTGGGACGGCCGGTTCGACTCCGGGGGGCCTCAAATCATTATAAACACTCCTTATTCAAACGGTGGAGGCTTTTTCCGCGAATTTTTTAACGATTTGGGCAAAGGCACGGCCATAAAACAGCCGACTTCTAACAATGGCGGACCCGGTTTTCTACATTTTTGGAACGGAGGCGCCATCTCGCGGCCACTCCACGCCATTTTAAAACTTAATTGATTTATAATTATCGTACGAATTAGTCCGAATTAAATGCATAAGCATACTTTCATTTATGCTACAACATTTTTTAAGCATCTAAGATTTATATAATTTATCGTAATTTATGTTTATCGACTTTTATATATAAAACAAAAAAAAACATCATCGACATTTAAACGAGAGATGAACTACTTAATAATTAGTTCATTGTTTTGTCAGTTAAAAAATAACAAAAGAATTCTGTAATATTCATACGAAAAATGCAGTAATTACAAGGAAAGTAAAACGTTAGAAAAAAAAAGTAAAATTAGTTCATAAGTTGTCTGCACGTTGTTTTATTAATATGTGTATATTGCATATAGTATGGCATGCCTTTTACCAGCGGTTTAATAATGTACTTACGCATACAGCATATTAACTAAAATTTATTTATTTACGACTTTCAAGAAACTTGATGGCATCATGTGATTTTTTCCAATAATAGCTTATTAAAATCTAAAATGCAACGATATCTGTGGTTTGTTCACACTTTTGTTTTTAGAACTATTTATCCAGGATCTCAAAAAATTAACAAGCTAGACGATATATTTAATAATCATAGAACCTTAACAACATTTTGTTTATTTATTTTCAGATTTTTTCCAAATGGAATCTCCATTTCTGAATTTTTAGAGAATGGACGTTGATAATTTTGCATAAAAACAGCTTTTTATGAAATCGCTGATAAAACTTAGCGATTAAGTAGATTCGTATGAATGACACAATTTTTTAATTTCTACCATATTAAATTGTGGCTATCTCTTGTACCGTGGCTAAACCCATATGTGTATAGCCTACAATATAAGAAGTTGTTGAAAATATCGATGCAAATGACGTACATTTCTAAGCACAAGTTAGGAGTTTGTACTTTTTTACTACTTGATTTTTCGATATCAATTGTTATATACTGTTATTAGGCATTTATATTTATTGTTACTTAATCAAACCCTAAAGTTACATTTTTGGAAATTTAACTATAGTTCAAAATTTAAACATCGACACAATTATTGATTTACTCAGTTTGGTGGGCGTAACACTTTAATGACGGCTCAATATCTCACCACTTATTATTTACCTCTCTCTTGTTCGTACTTTTGTCTTTATTCTTAAAGAAACTCTCTACTTTATTACTTCTGTTGTTCTTGTTAACAATGTGACCAATCTGATAAAATAAAAGTCGCTGCTGAGCCTGCGTGACATTTTCCAAATAAATATGGCCGCCTCCAGTGTCCGTGGAGTTTCAAGAGTTTTAGAAAAATTAGAAAATTCAGTTAAAAATGGAAACTATTACGAAGCCCATCAGATGTACAGAACTTTGTATTTTAGGTACTCTCTATTAACTGTCACTTCTTTGTAATAATTCCAGAAAATTCGATACATAACCTCTATCTTGTAGGTACTTGGCTCAGAAAAAATACAAAGAAACTTTGGATATGTTGTACAATGGATCACTACTGTTCTTAGAGCACGATCAGGTGATTTTATCACCAATTTATGTATTAATCGCAGGTCTCACGGTGTTTTTTTTGTAGCAAATTAGTGGTGCAGATTTAGCAATACTATTAGTTGATGTTCTAGTCAAATCTGAAGAAAAAGACTATGACGGGTGGACGCCTAAACTCTGTAAGATATTTTCAAGCATAAATGCTTCAACTCCTGAAAGAGAAACCTTTCTGGCTCAAGCTTTACGTTGGTCTTCTAATCACCGAAGTTTTGGACATCCATTTTTACATCAAGTCAGTGACAGAATTTACGTAAATTTGAATACAATGGTTTGCATTTTAGTGCATAGCACAGGTTTATTGGGACGAAAAGAATTATTATCAAGCTCGCCACCATTATATTTATTCAAAAGATGGGCTAGGTTGTGCAAAACTGTTAATTGAATTTCAAAGCACTCAGGGTTTTCAATGTGAAGCTGATTTATTTATTGCACAAGCTGTGTTCCAGTATTTATGCCTAAGTAATAAAATCACTGCTTACCAAACTTTCACAAGCTATACAGAGCAACACCCTCGGATAAAGAGATCAGGACCCCCGTATCTATTGCCCCTACTTAATTTCATATTCTTTTTACTTCAAGCTATTGAAAGGTGGGTATTTTATGGTTAAAGGTGAAAAATAATTGTCTGTCCGTTGCAGTCGTAAATTACCAACATTTGTTGTACTGTGTGAGCAGTATGAACCGTCCATTAAAAGGGATCCTTGTTATGTTGGTTATTTGGATAAAATAGGTCAAATTTTTTTTGGTTTGAAACCCCCACAGCAAAAACAGACTGGTTTGTTTGGAAATTTCTTTGAGTCGTTCTTGCGAGGTTTAGATGACAGTGATGAAGAAACATCACAGGCATCAACATCAAATCTCCCAGATATGATGCACTCTGAACTAGACTAGTAATTATTGATTTTAAAAATTTGTCTGGGGATTTTTTTAGTGTTTTTTATATGATGAAACACGTACATTATTTGGTAAGTTATTTAAATTGTGCTGCAGATTATCGGACTACATACTTACAATCAAATTGTATTTTGTTAACTTTTTAAGTTTCTACATTTCAAAAATCACATTGTAAATGGCTCTTTATTATATTATTATACTTATTATGTAATATAACTAATTGCAATTATTACAAAATTTATTAGGTTGGATATCTTGAAAAATCACTTTTTATCAATTTGGGACTGAAGTTAGAGAGTGTCAATTTCAGTGTATCATGTAATCATAACACTTTTTTTTTTGAGATATCTCGCCCTCTTTGTTATGCGTTAGTTTATTTTTCCTTTTTAATATTATTTAAATGCTTGTAAAATAAATTTTATCAGTTTGAATGGGACTAGTAATTGAAGAACCTCTGGATAGTTGCATTGCAATTGAAATTTTTGCAGACAATTAAGTATCATACAGAAATACAGTTTAAATTGTGGCTGTCTAGTATTTACAAAACTCGCTTTATTGTGGACAGAGCAGACGTCGCACATTGGCGCTAATTATAAATGGAAATAACATCTTAAATATTCAGCGGATTTTGCAGTACTGCTAGTGGCGTGAAAACAACTGATTGTGTAACTGATAAAAGTGCAGTGGAACACATTAATATGATTATTGTGTTTATTTATGTTCATATTTCTCGTTCGTGGTGTTTATGGGACAACATGAAGGATTTTTCTAAACACTAATATTTGAATCATTAAAATCGAGCAAAAACGTAAGGTATGTAGTGATAATACTGAATTCTTAGAAAGTATGTTAAAATGCGCAGTTTAAATAACCAAAAACTTTATTTTGAGTTTCATTACGGACAGTGTAATTATGATTAAAACGAAGTAAAAAAATATGCTGTGCAGAAACTTGCAAATCAATTTGTCCTGTTTTGGGATGACGTCATACGTAATTTTTAAATGGGATGGTATACATTTTTCTGTATATTTATACGGTGATCTCAAACAATGTGAATTAGTCTTATCTTTCTATAGTTTAACTAAATATCTTAGTGCATATAAACAAAATGTCAGAACGAAACAACAATTAAGATAGCAAGCGTTTCATAAAACGCATGTATTAATAAAAATACTTTTTTGTATTTAAATTTCTCGATCACAAATAATTTACATGTAAAATTGTATCATGGATACATATAACCTTTGCGCCTAAAAATGTTAATATACGTAAATATTAATATTCGGGATATCCTGGAAGAGGGAACTGACACGCGAAGGCTGCGACTTCGTCCCTTAAAGCTTCAACTTTTTTCTGTATTTCAGGATCACATTCAATAACTTTTTTGTAATCAACAAGTTTGGGACCTGACTTGGCACTAACTTCTTTTGACAACTTCAGGGCTTTATCGATAAACTCGACGACTCGATCGATGTCTTTCTCGACGAATCCTCTGGTAGTCAAAGCCGGGGTACCTGCAAAATTCAGGGAAATTAGTTTTACTAAATAGAATTTTCAGTTTTCAAAAGTTATGATTGATTTACACTATAATCATTGTCACTTTATATGTATATGTAGTAAAAAATGTACACCATCATTCTTCACAGTCTGGGTAAAATTTCAAAAGAATATTTAATTGTGGAGTTAAAAATTAATATTTTATATTTACTTTAACTCGACAAGTTAATGTTATTTGATTATCTAAATTTTAAATAATATTTAATAAAATAATACAATCACTGAAAAATGACCCTCATAACTTAAATTTGTCATTTTAAGAAATTTGTTAATTAGGTTATTGTGAGATTACGTAAAGCACATATTTGTAGATAAATCAGTTCAATGCAAAAAATGTAAATAGAAAAGAGCCAATTTTGAAATATGTACGTCCATATGAGAACCCCGCATTTAAGCACAAACTCACCTAATCGAATACCCGACGGATTCAAGGCACTCTTATCCCCAGGCACTGTATTCTTATTACACGCTATCGACACTTCCTCCAAAATATACTCAGCCTTAGCTCCCGTGATCTCCACATTCCGCAGATCCATCAACAACAAATGCACATCCGTACCCCCTGTGGCTATCTTATACCCTTTCTCTACCAAACCCTGCGCCAACCTCCTCGCGTTCGCGATTATTTGCTTTTGGTACTCTACGAACTCGGGAGTTTTCGCCTGCTCCATGGTGGTCGCGATGGCGGCAATCGTGTTATTGTGGGGACCTCCCTGCAAGCCGGGGAACACCGCCTGATTAATCTTGTTCTCCAGGTCGTACATGATTTTTTCGCCCTTGGCGTTGCACGAACGGACGCCCTTTCTGAAGAATATAACGCCAGCTCTAGGTCCTCGCAAGCTCTTGTGAGTGGTGGTCGTGACGATGTCGCTGTATTCGAAAGGACTCGGCGTCACTCCCGCTGCTACCAAGCCGGAGATGTGGGCCATGTCGGACATGAGGTAGGCGCCGACGTCGTCGCAGATTTCGCGGAAACGTTTGTAATCGAGGGGTCTCGAATAGCAGCTGATGCCGGCGATGATGAGTTTGGGCTTGAAGAGGCGAGCGGTTTTGGCCAGGGCGTCGTAGTCGATTAAGCCGGATACCGGATCCACCTGAAAAGATGTATGAAAATATTAGGACATGGATATTCTTATTTTTTTTTTTTTAATTAAGACAACAATAGGGAAGCACTGAAAGATGGTTATTAATTTTTTTTAAATAAATTAACGTCATTGTTGACATACATAGCGAGAGTCTTTTCTTTCCGGTGTATTTTATTAGTGTACACCTATTTTTTTTAGGTAAGCAGATTGTCTAAAAAAAAAAAAAGTTTCCGTTAAATTTTACGAAATGTGTCCGAGATTACGACAAACTTCTTAAAAAAGTTAATAAAATATTTACTTTGATTTGTATCCGAGACGATTACATGAAGGCTTTATTCCTGCGGAGAGAGTATCCATGTGCTATTAAGCCCATAGACGCATCTTTAAGAAGGAAACCCATACACCGTCCCGGTACGACGCCTGTGGGTTTTTTATATACGGCGATGACCAGTGACTAATCATCGGTGATTGCGGCGCTCGAATGAAGAAAAGCCTGGCAGCGGTTCGCCGGAAGTCGCAGGAAGTCTCCAGAACAACTTCAAAAGCGGCGATCACGATCTTTCCAGAAGAAATATACGGCTGTTTAAATACGGACCACCGTCGGAAAGGGACAGCCAGTCAATGAGTCTAGTCAAATCCATTCCAGTCGATTAATGAGTGCGAGTTAAGTCGGAATTATTTTGTGCATAATCGCTATATAGTTACTTAATCGTGTAAAGTAGTATTATTGAGAAATAAATTGTTGAGGTTTACCCACGCCCATTTTTAAGTACTCGTAAATCGTTAATAGTATGATTAAAAAGAAGAAAAACGACGACAGGTAGGAAACGCGTATTATTTTGCACATTTTGAATTCAATTTATTCATAATTGTTGTAAACCGAATTTCACAGTACACATTTGTCAAATAGAACCTATTCCAACACTTTCCTAGATTACACAGGGTAAATACATATTGTATGTATATGTAATGTATAAATATTTAATAAAAAATTTCAATCTTATTGTATATTATTAAATTCCTCCAAAATTCGAGACATACCCAGACAACAAAAAAAAAATGGATTTACGGATTTAAATACTACATTATGCACAAAAAACAACAACATTGCTTATTTACTGTAATACTACATGAATTTTGTAACATTTCTTTTTTTTATTGTATCTCAAATTCTAAAGTCTAAATAAACTTAGACCATTTTTTATGGTTCTGTTCAACTTTCTGGTGCAACCAGTGTTAAATGTTACACTATACAATGTGCCCGAATTTATCGCGAAATTATGTCATATGTGGCGTGAAATTTTAATTCAAACTGGGACACCACAAGCATAAAAAAAAAAACGGAGACATGAACGGCCACAAACGTTGTATTAATTTTCATACATTCAAAGATTTCGTCTTGTTTCATTTTCAAATCGTCCATATTTGTCTTTTTTCTCGATTGCTCAATGAATCAAGTGATCTGTTAATTAAAAAAAAACTCATTTCCATCGAAAATCTACCAGTAATAAATTTACTGTAAAGTAAAGTTCTAAATTTCGAATTCAAAATTTTCAAACGAGGAAATTTTAGTCTTTATCCAATAGAAATAAAAATATACCCTATAGAATTTTACTGCCAATATCGAGACGGACAGTAAAACAGTGGTTTTAAGGAATATTTATCGTTCACACCAATTTGTCGAAAAACAGGTATCTGTCTACACGGAGTCGGATTTGTGCCAATTTAAGAATAAATATGTTACCCGTTTTCCTGAATTTTAGCAAAATTAAGCTTATATTACTACATTTGACCGTGTATTATGCTGTGCTTTGCTGCATTATCTAACAAAGAAAGTATAACTTTCTATCTTTATTTATCTGTCTACGTAGTCTCACGTTCAGTCCACGGAAAGCAGACAACTTCTCTTAACTGACATAAACGAATTTAAAAGCGGAATTTATTTTAATACAAGTAAGTGGCTTGAACAACTAAGATATAAACAATATGTAACTAAAGAAATATATATTATATAATATATTTCTGACTAATTGTGAATAGTTAGGAGATTTAGTTGAAAACTTTTTTTTTAAATTCATCTCCTTCGGAAAGCCGATGACGTCATCTAAAAAACCTATTAAATAATTTCCTGTTGAAAAGTATGTTCTCCGAAATGGTATTATTTGTGCATTAGTACAATTTTTTAACTGTTTACGTACGATGACTGGAAAAAAATCGAAACACAATAACGCTATCTTTGGTATACATAGAAGTCAACTTCATTCCTACGAGACGTGTTCAAGGTGTCCCACATTATGCTGCAAACACATTACAGTATTTCAAATAAGGTTATACTGTGAAGCAGTAAAACCAAATGACGAAATACGACAACTTGTTATACATCTACTTACTTAGTTCTCGTATCAAGAACTGGAGTTCCAACCACAGATTTTAAAGTAAGAAAGCCACAAATGTCACAAAATAAGTAACTTAACCCCTAGAATACGAAAAAATAGGTCCCCGTTTCCGTCAGTCTGTCGATTTGCCGTCTACGTCAGTTTTTATCACACAGAAAAATTTCAAAACAATCGGACCTATTGTAGTCAAATTTTATGTTTGTTAGGAGTAATTTGCCTAATCATCCCCACCAACAATGTGATGAAGTTTCCTCAAATTTTTCGTATAAATTATTTAAATTTTATAAAATAATATAACCCTGGACTTATGGTTGTTTTATAAATCCATATTGAGGTTTTCTCCGAGCCATCCAAAATTTGGAATAAGAAAAAAAAATCGAAATTATATAGCAACCTTTTGTACTAGTAGTTATGAGCGCTTATTCGTCAGTTCATTGCTTAATTGTGCAATTTCGGACTTGTAACGCGAAGATCGTGCATGTTGCTTTATTATCCATATTTTTTTATTGATCAAATCAATCACGATACACCCCATTGTTTTATTATTAATCTGACACTGCACGTATCGGAACTGACATAGGTGTCTTATCACAACATTTTCAAATGAGAAAACTCATTGAAAATACAGTCATAATCTTACGCTTCATCAATGCATTCATATTCATTTCCATCGATACAGAGAGACGACAGACAGACGGAAAAGCGAGATCTATTTTTCGCACTCGAGAGGTCATGAAACGTCGAGAAAATATGAAAGTGATCAATCGCCGGATGGATGCTTACAATATTACAATACTTCACTTACGCTGGGGAAGTAAAAAATGTAAAATGTCGCAAAGTGTAAACTTATAATTTCTAAGTAAAAATTTGTTGGTGCTAAAACAAGAATTTCGGATTATAGTTAAAATCAGACGTTAATCAAAATTAGAAATGATAATTTAAAGGATTCTAACGAAGCCAAGAATTAATTATAGTTACAGTCATTATTTTCTCCGAGGCTTTTTTCGTTTTTTTTTAATTCTTTGAGATTTTTTCCCATTCATCTTCAGTCGCATATAGTTTTCGAAAATTTCTATACGAAATGACACCATGGGAGAGGCTTTTAAAAAAATGGTATACGGTTATTTAGACAGAACTTCTGTCGCCCTTGAAGTACAGTCTAATAAATCTAGCTTCTTCGTACAATTATAAAACGTGATTTTGCAAAATTTTATTTATCTGTATAAGCAAATCTAAAAAAAATGAATGCAATGATAAATTACAAGTATAGACTAATCATATTTTGCAATTTCAGGATTTATTCGGTAAAATTTTGAGATAACGCGATCAATCTTTTAGGGTTGGTAAACAGACAGAAATTAAAAAGTTACCATGCTTACAATAACTTCAAAACGTCTACAAGATTTAAAAGTATTAAATTTTGCATTTCTTGATTTAAACAATAAAATAAATTGACTCAATCTGTGATAAATCACAAGTATTGACTCATCATACTTTGCAGATTTAAAATTTAGATAGGATGTGTACGGCAAAATTTTGAGCTGACGTCATCAATTTTTTGGAGGGGAGATGTAAATATATTTTGATTAAAAATTTATCATGCTTATCATAACTTTAAAACATCTGCAATATTTCAAAGCATTCGGTTTTGCAGATTCAAAATTAAATTCCAAAATGTTGTTTGATAATTTTGATTTTTTTTTTTACAAAAATCTGGGCGTTTCGGGCAAAAACTCAATACGGAGTCATAAACTACATGTGTAGGACTATGTTATTTCATACAATTTAAAACCCATTTACTATGTGCAAATTTGAAGTGACGTCATCACATTATTGGTGGGGATGATTAGGCAAATTTTGGGTAGCGTTTTACCACCTACATGATATTCCGAATATAAATACAAAAATTTGACAACAAATCGCCCCGTACTTTCGGACTAACATGAACCAAGTTATGCGAAAAATTTAATTTAGTTTTCAATTATCTCATTACTTCACAAAATAGTCTGTGAAACTACAAATTTATTAAATAATGGCTCAACAAGGATTAATTTATGACCTTGACAATGCCAGTGACTTAACTAATTAGTGTATCTTAAGCATATTTACCACAGACAAATATCTCATTAGACATGCTACAGCTAAAGCAATTAAGCACTTACCTTATATGGCATAGACTCAAAGAACATTGACGTTGCAGAAATTTTTTTTGTTGCCGTAAAGAATCCATGCGTTAAATGGCCACCATCAGGCAAATCTAAACCCATAATGCGTCCATGGGGCTCAACAAGACCTAAATAAATTCAGTTATTTAGAACAGTAATTCAATAAGTAAATATAATCTACACACCAGTGTAAACTGCAAAATTTGCAGGCGACCCAGAGTATGGTTGAACATTTACCCCCCATTCTTCTGGATTTAACTTATACGCTTCCAACGACCGTTTTTGCGCTAAACGTTCAACCTTATCGATAAACTGATTTCCACCATAATACCTGTAATGATTTTATTGTTGCAAACTCGAATGTAAATCTGAATTTGTGAAATACCTTTGTCCTGGTAAACCTTCTGAATACTTATTGTGTAAACATGTGCTGAGACACTGCAACACCGGTAAGGACGTGAAGTTCTCGGATGCAATCAGCTCCAGTCCTGTAACTTGCCGTTTTTTTTCTTCCTTGATAATGGCAAACAATTCAGGATCCGATTCCCAAACGTTGGAGTTAATAAGCTGTTGACTCATTTTCTTTGTTTGCGATAGCACCAGCTTTTGTATGTTCTGCAATGTAAAAGTTTTCAGGTAAATTAACATTTTTAGAACCTTAATTCAAAAGTAACGTTTAAAAGTGAGGTTATAAACAACTAACCTGAAATATGTAAAATAAAACTTATTTGAATTGTCTTGTGCTGCAAAACCACGACTTGTACTTTATTAATCTGTTTGTTAGACTAACTTATAACAATTACTCTCGTGACTCTTAACGAAGACCTTAGGAAACAAAATGTGATAACCTTTCGTTTTATCAAAATTAAATACGTTTTTTAAGGTCATAAGGACCACATGGTGACCAAACTACTGACGCTACTAGTTGCTCAACTTAAAAAACATCTTGTTTATGCGACATTTCTATAAATTTAGTTGTAATTTTTGTGAAAAATATTAAAAATGAAGCACTACATACCCGGTTATTCAACAGGTGGTTGGCGGTTACAAAAGCGCGGGAAAACATGATAATTGAATTACAAAGAAAAGCGCGAATTCGAACGTCTAACTTATTAGTGAACAATCAGAAAAAGAAAGATTACTACGTTTGCTGTTCCCCAGAGTTGACCTTTGGTGATAATTATATCAAAAGTTGGTCGATTTGATGGAATTCTTTGGATTTTATCGCAATTACACAATACTATTCAAACATAGATTTAAATCATTTAAATCATCGATGACGAAATTAACATACCACTTTACATACTCGAATAATTTCTATTTGTGAATACAGAAACGTGCTCTAGTGAGAAAACAAAATGATTAGTAATAGTAATCTCACGTGATTTTTTTATTTTACTTTTGCTTTTACATTTATGACAATAATAATTCTCGTGCGCATGTTAGGCATGTTTTCGCCGAAATACTCAATAAAAGGAGTAGAAACACAAATCTAAAAACAGCAAAAATGATTTGAATACACTTTTGATCCTATTAATTGTAATAATTGATTGAGGTAACAAGGTTTCAAGTACACATGTGGGTGTCATTTTTTTTGGGTTTACTAAATACGGAAGTTTCCGACCTTAAAATTTTGAAGACCCTCTCTAAAATAATTTTAGCTAAGCACGTAGCTTGTGATTTATTTTCTAATTTCTAACGGTGACAGAACAATAGAAAACAAATCGAGGCTGACAAAATAAATAGTTATCGAATTATGTGCTGACCCGATTTTTTTTTAATTACAGGCAAAAAATTATTCAGTTTAATAGCCTGTTTTACCTCAATTGAAAGACAAAGTTGCCTAAAAACATTAAGTAAGGAGCTACATGGAAAATGGCGTGTCTACTATTTTAAATTTAATCAATAAAATTAACTGAGTGGTTAATTAATTTTTTAAAAATCCTATGTAAACAATTACAAAAATATATATGTTACTAAAGCACAATTAGTTTTGCATCTCGAAACACATTTTTTAACAAACACCTTTAATAAATTTTTGCGATGACGTCTTTAATTTTGTAGAGGGGATAAATAAATACATTTTAATATTTGTTCTGTAGTCACTAAATCAGTGTTAAGATATTGACAAATGGTTTCGTGTGTTCTTTTAGATATATTATTTTTTACAGTAATGGATATACGTCACAATAACTATCGGTATCTTATTAAACCACAAATAAAAGAACAAACATATCACACTATAAATCTGAAGAAAAATTTACTGAACAAAATCTTGAGATGACGTACTCAAGTTTTCGGAAGGAATTCTGATTAACGATTTATTATCTTCACGATATTCTTAACGCATAGCCAAAATTTTTAACCAAATTAAGTAAAATTGTAAAATTTTGTTAAAATCAGATATATTTTTGCTATCGTCATATCATTTGTCTATACCCTATACGATATATGATGATAATGAAATCAGAAACACACGACAGACGATAGACGGCAAAATTTTGTTATTATTATTATTTTTTGTTGTATAATAATTACCAAGGAATTGTTACTAATAGCGTTATAGTTTGTAAAGATTTTTTAAGTTTCTTAATAATTTGCTATTACGTCATTTATCGTAAATATTAATAGTAATTAACAGTAATAACAATAATAATAGTAAAAATTCAAAAAGCAATTCTATTAGGAAAATGTCAGATTGTAAATTTCTTAAATAGTTTGAACATGTTGATCAGAGTAGTTTAGATCACTAGTTGACGATTGTTACGTAAGAGTTGTGTTTGTTGGGCATGGTTAGAGAATTATAGTTGTTTTATTTTGTCATCAGTACATCAGTGTCATTTCCGCTAAAAAAATACTTAATAAATAAATAAAAAATCATGAAAATGTGTCTTAAAAATTGCTAAAAACAAACTTCTAAACTAATAATAATTAGTATAGCTATGTATACATTTACACACATTGACTACGAGTTGGTGCTAGGAATGACAAGACAGACAGTAATTAAGATATTGAGCTGTTTGTAAAAGCTGTTTGCTCTGAAATTAATTTAACATATTGAGTTTCTTAACGATGTTGATACTGACGTTCTTCGTACCTATGTCATTAAAAATTTGTTCTTGTGCCATTACCGTTAGAGGACATTTTCAGTAAATCCTTGCAGTGCAAAATAATAAATAATACTAAATCATAATGTTAGATTTTAAGTTAAATAATATTAATTTGTTGTATCTTTAAAAAATAAATAATAAAAAATGCATTTGGTTGTTTTATTTCATATTATTAGCTATACTGTACTAGTTAGATTAAAACCTGAACAACGCATGCATCATGCAAATTATGTACTTTCATTAGTATTCAAAGCACAAATCTCTACAAAAGCGTTTTAAAATTGAATAACGTTGTTATATTAGAAAAAAGTAAGTCATGTCCACGTCATTCTTCTATTGTATCATTAGTACGTTCTATAAATAATGTTTCATCCACCCTGGAACAAATTCTGAAACTATCTTAGAATAAATTCTATGTATTAACGCTAGGAAAAAAAAAACAATGCCAGAAAAAGGAAGTTTGACAGTGTGATAAACCAAACATTCCGCCAAATTGAAACACAAAACCCGCGAAAAATTTAAAATTTGGCCTGGAGCTGTGATCAGTTGATCACCAACAAAATGGAACGAAAATGGCCGAACGTGTTCATTTTCAAAGTGACACCCCAAGGGTGACGAAGTCACCTGAAATCAAAATGCAAAGTATGGAGGGTGCTCTGGTGTCCTGTTTTGAAAATTTTTAGTCCATTTGGGGGAGCAGCGAAAAAATTATCCATAGACTCGTAGTTCTAGGGAGTTTTGTAATAAGACAGCAGGGGTACTCACTTCCTTTTTCGTGTTTTGGTGTGGTGGGTGTAACTACGTCTTAAAGTTGGTACCTAAATTTATGTTTGTAATTTCACCAATTTTTGTTTAAACAAAATGAATCGCATTCGATGCCATGTCCTCCTCAACGCGTGTAATTAGTGTAGAACCAGTTAATTAGCTATTTTCTAATTTGAAATGTGTTCATGTCAAGATTTTTTTAATGGCTCAAAAATATGCGGCAAGGAATTCACTTATTAAGGTCCAACTTATTTTAGTAACGATAGGTATATTTAAAGTTATGGGTGTTTTTACTTAAGTTATTACATTACACAGTTCATAACTACGTACTCTAACTCTATAAATATCATCGTGTATTCGAAAACAGGAGAGCTTCAATCTTTTCTTCCAGGTTTAATAATTTCTTACAGTTTGAATTTGAATCCTTATTCTCAAATTATTATTTTTATTTGATCGTATTGAATATGTGCTTGTTGTGTCTATTTCATATCTTCTTTATTTTATATGAACTGGGATTTCATTTAACAGATGCTGTGAATTTTGCGAACTTATTTTGATTGAAGTTTTAAATTTTTTGTATATATGTGAGTAGATCCATTAATTCTCGACGAAAGTGTGCGCACTTGGGTCGGCGATGTTGATGCTGATTTTTTCCTCGAAAGTACACCTAAAAAGGAGACGATCCTGAAAATTCGAGCCCGATATGTGCAAATCCGGCCGCTGGAGAATTTTTTGAATTTTTGAAAACGTTGATTTTTCACTAATTTTCAAATATTTGTATCTCTTTTGATCAGATCTGGAATTTGGTTAGGAGTGGGACCGTACGTTTGACAATATTAAAAAATTTCTAACTCAAATACAAGCTCGATTCCCTAGTTCAAATGTTCAGGGCTTCTTTGGGACAGAATAAAGCAACTTTCCCGAAAGTTTGAAACAAATTGAAGTTCGGATAAAAAAGTTCTAGCTATTTAAAAACAGCGATTTTTTAAAGTTTGATTGGTTTTAAATAGCTGTAACTTTACAAAATCGGAGCAATTAAACAAAATCTGGGTCGATTCCATTAAAATATACCTCGACAAAAGATATTAGCTGCTGGTCGACTCTTAACTTTGAATACGGTACATATAATAGTGTTTTATAAATAGGTAAAATTTAACCAAAACAGTTGTTTAGTTGGAAGCTATTAGCTAAGCCGGATATAACTTTAGACCTAATATCTATTTTTTTCATAAAAGTAGAAGTCTTACTGATAAGAATGCCGCTGGGCAGGAGTCTTCAAGTTATATAGAAGCTGAGATACAAATATTAGAAAATTAGTGAAAAATCGACTTTTTCAAAAATTCAAAAAATTCTCCAGCGGCCGGATTTGCACATATCGGGCTCAAATTTTCAGGATCGTCTCCTTTTTAGGTGCACTTTCGAGGAAAAAATCAGCATCAAAATCGCCGACCCATGTGCGCACACTTTCGTCGAGAATTAATGGATCTGCCCATGTCTAATTTTGATGCGATCATTGGGTTACCATAGTATACTGCTTATTCTTCCTTCCTGGTGAGGGAAAAGCTGCGAAATAAGTGACAATAGAGTAAATACCAAATGTGCTATAGAGAACGTCGTGATCAGAGCTTAATTAAAGTTCGTTCTCGTAGTCTGTAAACTTTCCTCAATGATCTTACTGTGGTAACACGCGCACACCACATCTCTATCCCAAAAAACCTGCCGCATATTATAAGCTGTACCCCACCTCCGCAAAATAGCCAGATATTTTCAAACTGCGCATTTCATGAGTTTCCCCATAAATACCTAGCAAACTTGTGCTTCTATTTCAACTGAAAATTTGGACCTTATAACTGAATGAGTACTAGAATTACCAGATAGGAAGTAAGCAATATTTATGTTACTCCCCATCAAGAATTTTAAACAAAAATAATTTACATGGTGTTAAATTAGGCGTTAATTCAAATTATTGTTACGTTGGACGGGTATTTAAAATCGGCGTGGGTTAAACTCAACAATTTATTTCTTAGTAACTTGGATTTAATTACACAGCGATTATGTACAAAATAATTCCTGCGCAACTTGACTAGGTTTTCTCGATAT